GTGCGCGCGCGCGCGCAGCGTCGCGGCCGTTGGCCCCGCTCGAGCCGGGCCGTGCGGTGCCGGCGCTGCTGTCCCCCCAGCTTGAAGCCCCCGTGAGGATCGGGGCTTCCTCGCCGAGAAGCCGCGTTTCGCCATAGGCGGGCAGATAGTCTGGGCAGAGACACAAAGCCAACGTATGGCACGGGCTCAGAAGGCAAGATACAGAAGAGGCCCCGTGACTACTTTGTGACTGTAAAAGATATTCCCGTGGGTATTTTTACAAGCCAGATGCACAAACTGAATTTTTGGAGCTGGGAGCACAGGGCTCCAGCAGGAACGAGCACTACAAGGGATTTCCCCTGTACCTGCTGCAGCCTCCAGGCCTGTCTCTCCGCTCACTTTCCATTTCATACCTGAGCAGAAGTCTCTGCGTTTAGTGGGGGAGATAAACTCTAACCCTGCTAATACCGTCCCCATAAAGCCTGTGCTAGGCAAACAAATACCTGTACACGAGCAGCTCCTTTTACCTTTGCTCGCGCACAGATAGCGAGCGCGGCCGTTCGCCTGCCCTGACTCGCTGCCAAGCGTTTGCAGCCTCGCGCTTAGGGACTCTTCAGGCAGCTCTTTCTTCCCGTTATTCTGCCCCGTCAGACATGTGCGTGGTAGCAGGACCCTGGGAGGCCAGAGGAACGTACTAGCTCTCTGGCAGGAAAACTAGTGAAAAAAAAGGTCTTCTAAACCTCACAGAACTAAATAAAGTTTTTTTAATGTTGTGCAGCAGTTAGGTTGCTGTCACAGCACATGAATGTAGCCCTAGAGGACATGTGCATGAAAAACGACAGCAGCAGCTACCAGGGAAAGGTATTACAGAAAAACATGTTTTGGAGTGTTGTATGACTGCATAGCAGCAGCTAAACAAGTTCTGCAGGAAACCGGGTCCTAAGGCATTACCATTTATCTGCTGTAGCTGCTCCAAAGGTGCAGAAAAATATGAAGCAAAGATGGGTCTCTTTAAAACATGTGGTCATGTTTGCATGATGTGTGAAATACTGATTTAATGTTAGCCTAAAGAAAACTGAAGTAAGTGCATAACAACTAGTGAAGTAATATTTATAAAACCACAGCAAAAACATAAACCCTCTTGTAAAAATGGCCAAAGGAACACTGTGATGTAGGAGTTAAAATGGACAAGGTCAAGAAAAAAAAAAAAACCTAAATTGGCCATGCACTGCAGAGCCATAAACGTTGCCATATTAGCAGGTGTTAGTCGCATATTAGCAGCGAGGTGTTAGTTGTGCAGCCACGTGAAGCTGCGCAGTAGGAAGGGAAGCAAGAAGCACCATCGGCAGCAGGAAAAGCCGTGTTGGAGCAGGGCAGCCCGGGAGGCCGCCAGCCCCGCTCCCATCCCCGGCCCTCGGGGTGGCTCGGCCGGGGCTGCTGCTCGCTTCAACCCCCCTCCAAGGTCAGAAGAAGATAAACGAAGAAAATCGCTGTCCTCTCCTGCTAAAGCTCATGGCAGAGCTACTCCCGAGGGCACGTTTGTGCCCGGCACTTTCCTTCCCGGACGTTGTGCGTGGCGCAGGCCGAGGGCAGCAGGGCCC